CTGCAGCGCTTGCCGAGCGAAAAGCCAAGCACCCACAGCAACAATTTTCCATGCACCCGGCTGCAGTTAGCGACAGAACGACAGAATGGCAACGACATCGACATCGACATCGACATGGAGCCACCTGACCCACTGACACTGCCCCGAACAATCAAACCTACCCCCACAGAGCATGTTGCATGTTGTTGTTGCACTTGCCGCCAAATCATATTTCCGTTTTTGTCGCCCTCGCCATTCCCATTACCCACTTGATGTTTGCTGCCTTCTCATCATCTGCATTATCTAGGTAGTCCGGCATTGCATGGCAACACCATCATCATCATCATCAACATCATGAGCATTGAGCTCATCATCGTCTTTATCATGAATGTTAATCGTCATCTGTCAGACGCATTTGCGGTTGCCAGCAAATTGAATGTAGGTCGTCCCCTACCCAGAGTTGATGTCGTTGCGGTTGCCATTCGCGTGACCACAGCGCCATCGATCAGACAGCGGATTGGGGGAGAGCGGAGGGGGATGGTTTTGATTGAGAAGCTGCCTGACGGTTGGGGCAACGGTTGGGTGCTGATTGGCCGCCGCCAGCATGTCTGCAGCTGCTATCCGCACGCTGCGGCGGTCGCATCCACGCCCAATTAACAGGGCAGCGACTGGCTGCAGCACACGAAAAACTGTTGCCCCACTTACATAACCTATATAAAAGTCGTATACACACACACACACATACACGCGCGCGCACACAGGTGTATATATGCCACATGCACTGCGGCAGTTTTTGGGCAGCTGCAGCTTAAGCTCAGCGCTCCTAAGTAGGCAATGCTTTTTGTGCTATCTGAATTGTGTGTGTGTGCAGTGGGTAGCTGTGCTATTATAGTGTATATACATACATATACATATATATTCTCGATCAACAAGCAAGTCTATAAAGATATAGAGATATATATATATTTATATATATATCCAAGCAGAAGTCGTTCCTAATCTATGATTTTTCGAATACCGGCGAACTTTATCATAGAAAGTCAGTTTCAATAAAAACTAAGCAATTGTCAATTGTTTTTATTATTCAGATATATGAATGTTAGCTGCTTCCATCAATATCTTTCTACAAAATTTATTAGCTATCTTAGCTCTTCCTTTCGTCAAGGGTATTCGGTGGGCGGCATCACAATTTTGTTTTCTCTTGGTTTTATTGCTGCCAGTTTAAGTTGGAAATAGAGTCAAGCTCTTCATGGCTGAAATGTTTGCTTTCAGTGTGCGTGTGTGTGTGCGTGTGTGTGGCTGTGTGGGTGGTGGGTGTGGCAGTTAATAGCCGTTGTTTGGCTAAGGCTCTTAGGGCTCTTGAAAACCTGGTCTGCTCTGACGACTGCTGCTGTTTGTCTATTTGTCTATTACCCGGCTGCTGTCTGTCTGGTCGCACATGACAGCAGCAGCAGCAGCAGCAGAAATACACACTAAGCACACACGCACACACATATACACACACACACCCATGCAAAAACCTTGCTCAGCCTTAGCTAAGGCTGCATATATGTATTTGCCCCAAAATGTATGCTACATTTTTTCGTTCAGCGCAGCTGCTGCTGCTACTCCCGCTGCTGCTGTTGTTTTTGTTGGTATTATTGTTGTCTCGTCTCTAGAGCAGACACTCCTTTTAGCAGCACACACACACACGCACATTTAGATATATATATATATATAGATATATGTATATATATATACAGCTGCAGACACATTTAGAGGAGCACTAACTGATTTTTAGGTCGCCGGCGCTAACGACAGAACGACAAACGTTTACGGCTTGGCTGGCTGAGGCTCATCGTTAGTCCTCACACCCTCACACATACACACACACACACACACACTCTCAGCAAATGGCAGACAGGCAGACAAAGCAGCAACAACAACAACAACAACAACATGGTTGGCGCTCGTTATAAACGGCAGCAACAAAAACCGCTGCCGCAGCCCAAGCATTAAAAGCCCGCAACTAACAGACACCCTGCCCAAAAGACACCCTACCCTAGCCCATACAACCCCCTTTGCTGCTGCACAATTTGGTTAGACATGAACCAGTTTTCATTTTCTTTTTTTTTTCTATTTTATTTTACTTTTATTTTTTATATTTTTGCCAACATTTGCGCGCGTGCTCTGCTGCCTCCCCATCTCTCTCCCCCCTTTCACGCTCTCTCTTTCTCTCTCTCTCTAGCACTCACTCTCTCTCGCTCACTCGTTCAGCCAGCTTTGGTAGTGCCGCTTGCTGCTGCCAGATGGCGCGCTTGCTTTTATATTTTGCGGCATTTATCCGAAAAAATGTTCTTGCTTCTTCTGCTTTATATACCACGCAATGTTTGTATGTAGTGAGTGTGTGTGTGTGTGTGTGTGTGTCTGTGTGTGCTGTATGTATATAGAACTTTCAGCCATTCATTTTGTTTTATTGTCGTTACTGTCGAGCGCAGCAGCAGCAGCGCAGACAGCCGTCTGCGTGGCCCGTGTGGATTTTCGGTTCGTGAATTGTTTGCTGAATTTCGCTTGTTTTTCCTCTTTTATACCCTGTAAATAGTTAAAACGCTAAGACGTTCGTTTGCTCGTTAGTTTTGTCTCCTTCAGCGAGCCGAGTCTAAGTTAATTTCTTAATCGATAAATATCGAACACTTCTTTTGAAACTGTTTTTGCAGTACTTTTTGTACTGTAAAATATTTTGTGGCTTCCTTAATATAATCTGCTGTAGTTGCGTCACTTATTTTGACAATCAATTCGAAATCGATGAATATTGAAGCGTTGTAAGGGGATAATAAAGCTGCGATTGATAAGAAAAACGTCTGTACAGGGCATTTATTAGTCGAGCAAGGTCGCCTCGTTTCTCTTCTTTTATTTTTTTGGCGCATAAAGTTGCCAGTCAGGCAGCCAGGAGGCAGTCAGGCGTTGGTCGCACAACGCTGCTCGCATTGTGACTCGCCTTGGCGCAACCGTCACACGTCCCGCCCCTCCGACTGCCCGCCACTCCGCCTGTCCGCCATTCCGACTGCCCGACTGGCCGCCTGTCCGCCTGTCACATCCTGCTGTGCACCAGCCTGCGTTCTGGTCGTTTCAGCTGTTGGTGTTTGGTTCGTGCGCTCGTTTTGGCCAGAAATTGTTGTTGCTTTTGTCTGCTTTGGTTTTTATTCCTGCCACATACACTCCACACCACTTCATCTGGGCCACGGCACGCCCTACGCCTCTTTTACACTGGCTGGTTTTTGTGTGTTGCAGCTTTTCGTTTCCTTTTCTGACGACGACGAGGACGACGTCGTCTAAGCTGGGAATTTATGTGCGTGAGCGTTTCATATTTTTACTGCGCTATGTGGACCACCAGGCTCCCTCGGGGCACACACACACACAGCTGCCCCTGAACCCCCCCCCACACTTTTGCTTTATAACTTAAACTGCACAAATTTTTGTTCATTTTCGCTTTGGAATTTAATAAATATTGTAAAATGTGTAAAGTTTGTGCTTTGTTTGCATTCCGTAGTCTCAACGCTGAATTAACTAAATTCACGTTTAGCTGTTGATTAAAGCAATAAGAGAGTTGGTCATGTGCGTGTGTTGCGAGATGTGCCTGAGATAACAGTATGTAAGGGCCAACAGGTCGTATGAGTTATTTTTGAATTTATATAAAGCTCACGCGGCGTATGCGTAATATTTCATCTTTTCATTTCATGCCGGATCGGAGCTCTTTAACATATAGCTCCCTTAGGAACGATGGCTCGGAAAATAGCTTTTTGTGCTTATCAATATATTCTGCTTATAACTGAGTCAAATCTGGTCAAGATCGATCTGCTATATTGTGCAACTCTGATCGGTCGAAAAGTGAGTTCTTGTCTGGCAAACGATTCTGTTTTTCATGCTATTTCCCCCCAACTTAGCTTCATCTGAACATATTTGAAAGCCTGTGGAGCAAGTGTTCTTTTTCGCTTTCATATATAGAAAACTTATCTATACAAAGTTCCCCGCAGCCCTGGCTACTCCCTAATCGTCTCTCGATACCCTCCCCATATATCTTCCCCTGTTAGAAACCTACTTAGCTGCAATTAATTGCCAAGCTGTTTAATCGACTGAAATAAAATAAAATATGCTGTGCGTGTGTGCATAAATGTATATACTCTAATATAAATGAAAGGTGTCGACCTAATGGAATGCTCCTATCTGATATCGTGCATCTCTAGCCGAAGCCAACTGTAGCCTACTTATGGGCGTTGGCCCACATCCTGCTGTCTCCGCCCGGCTTGTGTGACCTGCTTTGCTCTTTGAGTGGTTTCTCCCGGCTACGAGGTGGAGAATTGGGTGGAGCACGTCAGCAGCCCGGCGGCATGTGCTGCGGCAAAGCGAACCCAAAAAATTACGATGTCGACGGCGGTCGAAGTGTCAAAAGTTTGGCTCAACTTTTGCACGCGCTCTTAAGTGTGTGCGTGTGCATGTGTGTGCTTGTGTGTGTGTGTGTGCTGCAAAGTGGCCACCAGCAGAAACCACAGTCAACTCGTGAACTAACCGCAGGCACACACCCACACACACGCACTTTGTTGATTACGCTTTCCCCGCCCCACATTAATGTGTATCCCTTTCGCTTTTTGGGCTCGTTTGTAGCCGCAGCCCATTTTGGCGGCGCCTCTTGGCTTTTGCGTCATACGCGCCAGCGTGTCGTCTGTCCCATGTCTCCGTCTCAGTCACCGTCACCGTCTCTGGCTGTCTTGTGAATTGCCTCTTCACTTGACAGCCGTCGCTTCCGCTGCGGCCAAGCACAAGCTTGGGCCCCAGCACAAGCCATCAACGATGCCGTCGTTTCGCCTTGACTCTCTGACATTTGTCTCTCTGGCTGTCAGCCTGTCTGCCTGGCTGTCTATCAGCCAGCTTCCTTGTTAAGACATTGCACACTGGTGCAAACTATGTCCATATAATATCAAATTAGCTTGGCTTATCTGATTTGCCTTAATATATCTCTCATACATATTAAAGTGTGCACTTACCCGAAAAAGACTGGAACCAGTAGTAGGGAAAGAGTATTTTGCATTCCTAGAAGAAAAAAATAAGTGGAGAGCGGGTTAGAAGGGGAGAAATATCGAGAAATAGCAAAGTAGAGAAAGAAAGAGAGAGAGAGAGAAATTGGGAAAGTACATAGATAACTATATAATATACAATTCATGAGAATCACATAGAAAGGCAGCGCATTTGCTAGCTGCGCTTGCTCAAGCTCGATTAGTGTTCCACTGTGCCATTCGTCTGCCTTTGATACAGACAGACACAGACACACACACACACGCACACACAGACATTTAACTCACCCCCTCTCCCTTTTTCACCTCCACCCCTTTTACAGCTGAGTTAAGTTTAGCAAGTGCCGCCCCTGGTGGATTATTTCGGCACAATTTGCATATTCAATGAGCCTTCGACGTGGCTGGCTGTCGCCTTTGGCATAAAATGTTTGGATTAAGGGGCGTGGCGGCGGGGCATGCCGCAGACGCAGCCGTTGCCACACGCACGTGTTACATAAGTTTTGCAACGTGTCTGCCTACCCCTTCTCCACTCTCACTCTCACTCTCTCACTCACTCTCTCTCTCTCTCTCTCTCTCTCTCTCGCTCTTTCTGTATCGCCCACACTCTCTCTCCTTGTCTGTGTTTGCTTTGCACGTGGCAAAATTGTTTCGTTGTCGGCAAATGAAATTTGTTTGCCTAGGCGCAGGAGTCTGACGCTGCGTCCTGCCGCATACCGCCCGCTGGGGCTCGGCTACCAAAAATGCCAGCCATTTGCCAGCTGTGCGTGTGTGCGTATATACGTGTGTATCTGTGTGTGTGTGTGTGCGTGTTTATTTTATTGATTACTCTGTCTCATGCGTGCCTTTTATTTTTTATCTCTGTCTGGCTTGTGTGCTCTGTCTTTGTTTATGCTTTCCATTTTATTTATAATTATCTGACATTTCGCTAAATGTAGCTGGGCTTTAAGGCTGCTGTTGGCTTTAAAGATTGACTGATTGACTGACTGACTGACTGACTGACTGATTGTCTGTTTGCCTGTCTGATGGTTCGCACTGCGCCTGAATTTATACGTATTACGTATACGTCGCGTGTGCTCAAGGTCAATTTGGGGGCTCTGCTAAGTATATACATGTGTGTGTGTGCATTTGCTGTGTGTGCGTGTGTGTGCTTGTTTGTTTTATGCCCTCAAATGCCTACAATTGTATACAGTGCAGACAAATGTTTATTGCATGCGCCACGCGGCGTATGCGTAATATTTGTGGCAGCTGCTCTCAGGCGCCAACTTAGGCGTCACACCCAAGCACACACACGCACACACGCTCAACTTGCTTAAGCACAAATCCAGCGTCTAGCTGACAACATGAGCATTAACTTTCGAGCTAATCCAGTGCCACGTCAGCAGCAGGCGGAGCTGAGTGGCCCGTCAGCTTCTTCCACTTCCACAAGAGCTGCAAAGTTGTCAAGTTACTTTGACAGCAACCGCAAATTGAGCGCTAAATTTGCTGCTGCTCGACGGGCAGATACCACGTATTTTGTGGAGGTGAAAGAATAACTTATTAGCCAGTTCTACTAGGCATAAGTTTTTAGTTGGATTTTCAGCTATTGTAGATGTAGATTTCTTACATGGAAATAATAGGAATCTGAGACTATGAGATACCACGCAGCTTGCAGCTGTTAAGAGTAGCAGAAAGAATCTTAGCTTTCGAGCAGTTCAGTTTCAGCTGCTTATTGTTAGCTTTGCCAAATGTCATTCGCTTGGTTATCAACTTCTCTTACGCGCCTTCTAAGGAACGTATAGAGGGGGAGAAGCTTTAGAGAAGTTCACACAGTTAAGGCAATGAAAACGCAGCTGTCGTATCAGGCTCCTACTACTAAGCTACTGTAGAGAAGACAGCTCGCAGTCAAGAATTGATATGAAGCGAGAAGCATTTGATAAGTTAGTTAACAATTTTAGGAGCAAATAATCCTGAGAGAAGAGAAGCTTCTGATATGTTAGCTCGTGCTAAGTAGTTCCATTTGGCATGAAATCTCAAAGGCCCAGCCGTATAAACTTCCTGGCCAGAGCTTAAAGGGCATTAAGACTTTGATTGAAGCAGAGCCTGGGCAAAAATTTCAAACGAGCGGGCAATGAGAAAATGCCAAAGCCAAAGGTCTGAGCACGTTTTGCACATTTCATTTCGCATGCACAAAACAAAAAGTCGCCAGGCCCAGCAAACTGCTTCACAGGACGACAACAAGGACAACAAGGAGCAACTGGATAATAATGAATGTGACTGTTGCCCCAGCTCATCATCAACAAAATCTGATTTTGAGTGGCGGCAAAGTTGTTCGTTCTTCTTCTTTATCTCATTGTTGTTGTTGCTGTTGTTGTTATTGTTGTTGTTGTTTGTTATGACAATGACATGGAAATGAAGACGAGCGACTGCAACTGACTCAGCCTCAAGCTTCGGACCAAGCCCCTCCGCTTTGTCCAACAACAACCCTCGGACTTCCACTTCAGCTGTTGTCACTGGCACACGGCACATTCGTCCTGGCATTAATCAACTGTCCGTAGTCCTCGGGCTGAGCACTGCCCAAGCCCGCTTTTAACTTGGCTCCTCCTGGCCAGCGCTCATTAGACGACCCAGCCTGCAGTTAGTCCTGGCTCTCTCTCATTCTTACTTTTTTTTTTTTGTGGGCAGCATACATGGCTTTTTTCTGCTTCTTGCTTTTTGCGCTTTTGTTTAAAGTTAAGGCGAATGTGTGTGGGAGAGAGAGAGAGAGAGAGGGAGAGAGAGAGAGAGAGAGCTTGAGAGAAAGAGGGCTGGGGGCACCACATTTGCTTTCTTTCTTTGGTTTTTTTCTTTGCATTTTTTTTTTTGTGGCAGACCCTCGTCTTGTTACTTTTTTGCGTAGTTTTTTATTTTTTTTTGCTTAAACACACACATGTACATGTGCCAGCTGCCACGCCCACGCGCCCAGGTACACACACACAAACACACAGAAAGAGAGGCATCAGCTCGCTCGGCACTCGGCAAAAACAAATAGCGTCCGCGTCTATACACAAAATCAGACGCTCAAGGACTCTTTAGTTTGCCAGCAGCAGCAGCTGCAGCTGCCTCTTCTCCCGCGCCCCTCCGCACACACACACACACACACTCGCACACACACACACAGGCACACCCACTTGAAAATGCCGTGCAATGAAAGTAATTTTCGCCAAATAGACTGCGCCCTGCTGCCGCTTCCCCTCGCATTTGCACAGCTCGCTGAGCTCTCGTTTAACTGCGACTGGCGACTGCTTACAGGCAAATGCTTCCACTGCTCCCCAGTTACTGCTGCTGCTACTGCTGCTGCTACTGCTACTGCTGCTGCAGCTGCAGTAATGCCACAGGACACTGAACAATTCGCGCTGCAAAGTTGGTCTGCTTGTTGTTTTTCAACTTGACTGCGAGTACATACATATATGTCGGAATTATCCCTTGGATCCTTCATAAAGTCAACTTTAAAATGGGGGGGCGAATTTTCACGTTAAAGACTATTTTGTGTTTCATTTAATGTACACAATATAAATTTCCACGACTTAACGGCGTGTGAACTTCGCTTCGATTTATTTGCTCAAAAATGATTTTCAGGAAACAATCGAAAATGGATTTAGAAAGTTTTGGATGAGCAACTTTCTCTTGAAATATATCTCAATATATATTGAAGAAAACAAGTTATCGTTTTCTGTGCTAGAAAACGTTCTTAAAACTGGTCAGGCGATAAGATTGTATCGATTAGAAAACTATCGATAACCTTATATGCAAAACCAAAGCTGACAACTATCGATACTAGCCGAACACGTTAGTTGTCAACATGTTAGTTATCCTTACATAAAGTGATTAACCTATTTAAGAGTTCTATAATTATCCATAACACAATATTGAAATCTATCGATAGTCGTTAAAAGAAGAAGTTAGAGTCTTGGTAATCACTTGAAAGAGCTTCTTGTTTATTTATTACTGCACATCTATCTATCCATCTATCCATCTATCTAGCTATCTATCTAATGCCTTTCTTCTGGAGTAGACTATTTTAGATTGCAAACTTAATCGATAGCTTCGATAGTTGAGTCAAGACCTAGGCCCATGCTGAATACATGTGTCGAAAACAATCGAAGCTTTACGGGAACTGTATTCTAGCCAATGTTAATGATAGCACTTCTCAACTTTAACTTAAAACGGAAATGATATTAATTAGAAAACTTTGGTTAGGCGCTTTTCCAACTTTACGTCAATTACAAAGAGTTTGATGAGTTCGCTATGCCTGCAAATGTGTGTGTGTGTGTGTGTGTGTGTGTGTGTGTGCAGACATATTCTAATGCTGGGGGGAAAACCTTCGACAATCGTCAGTTCTAATTGCTTTTCATGGCAATGTCACAACAACAACAACAACAACAACAAAAGAAGAAAATGTTCAACAATAGACGAGGAAATTCTCTTTTGGATGCCGCGTTTTTCTTTTGCTTTTCCTCTTTTGCTCTATTAAAGTTTTTGGCGCCCCCAAAAAAGTTGTGCAGCCCCCCGTCCCCGTTCCCTCCCTGGCACGCCTCCGCCCCTTGATTCAAAGTCTTTTTTGTGCAACTTGAAACCGAAAAGCGCAAAAAGTTTTTCATGCGGCTTCGGCTCTTTTCAAATTTCATGCCCCCCCCCCCCCCCCCCCCCCCCCTTTCTCTCTCTCTCTCGCACACACACACACACTTCATTGGCCTTTTCTATGGTTTTGTTAGCAGCATGCGGAAGGGAAGAAGCAGCTGAAATTCTTAGAAAAGAAGCTGACTTGCAATGCCAAATGTTGCCCCCCCCCTCCCACACTCTCCTGTGCCATGTCTGACTGACTGACTGACTGAATCTCTCTCTCGCTCTCTCTGTCTCCCTGTCTCTATCGCTTTGGCAGTCAGTCGGCACGGGGGCAGCGGGAGCCGGGTTACGTCTCTGAGGTCTGGGCTCTGGCAATATATCCACGTCTGCGTCAGCGTCTGCTGTCTGCTTCTTCTTCTTCTGCTGTTGCTGCTGCTG